TCTGTTAATGAAATCACAAAACTTAATCTAAATCTTCCAGGTATGGAAAATACAATTTGTTTTCAATAGATGCATATAACGGTAATTAATAGTATAAATTTCTTTTATTTATAATAAAAAAAGCTACTATCCTTATAGCAAACTGTGAAGAAAAGTCGGTAAAATTGGCAAAATTCCAACTTTCGGAAAGCAATTTAATATCGGAAAGTTTTGATTTGTCGTGTCAGTCTTTTCTCAATAGTTTGAAAGAAGAATTCTTTAAAACTTTGGGGCACCATTTCAGTGAAGAAGCTGTCAAAAAATTTCGAAATTGTCATTACGGGCAAGCGGAATATCTTTACAGAAGGTTTTGTTTGCCCAGTATAATTAACAGTTTTAGAGGCGATACAAAAACATTTAAAATTGTTGAGTTGGATATTGATGAGCGGTGTCCAAGCTTGGCGAGTTATGTTACAGGGGAACAACGAAAGCGATTTGAAGAAGAGGATTGGATTTTAGAACTCGATTTCCACAACGTTAAATCAATTTTCGACCCAGTAGTCGATAAAATTCTTGAATTCATTATGCAACAAATTTTAGATTCTAAACCGATTGATGTTATATTTTTAGTTGGGAAATTTTGTGAGATTCCTTATTTCTTAAAGCGTGTAAAAGAAAAATTTACTGGAAAAGTACAAGAAATTATTGTCCCAGCCCGGCCTGCAACTTCATTAGTTTGAGGATCTGTTTTTTACGGTCTTAACCTTATCAAAACTCTGCCAAAAAAAGTTTTGAAGTGGAATTATGGAATCGGTATACATAATAATTGGAAAGCAAAACATACAAGCATGGAAATATCGACTACGGCCTCATATGAATTTTTTCATCTAATTGCGCGTAAAGGAACATTAATCGATAAAACACAAGAATTTTCTGTTCTTTTCTCGCCAGTTCCATTCTTTGCGAATCAGCTGGATGTAAATATCTATGTCACCGAAAAGGATGATGTAAAGTTGTGTTCGGATGAAGGTGTAAAGATTTTTGGAAGGATAACCGTTATTCTTCCAGATTTTATGGAATCTATTAATGAAATTCTTGCTGTGAAATTAATCTTTTATATTGGAAAAAATGAATTCAAAACTATTGCAAAAAATTCACAAACTGACAAAGAACTCGAAACGATCTTAGATTTCAACATTGATCTTTCTTAATATTCATTATTTTAATTTTATCGTTATTGGCCATATTTATAGTCTAAATTATCTAATTATACGATATTATTTTATTTTCATCCGATGAATAAACTGTAACTACTTGCGTTTTTGGGCACATAATCTCTAATTTAATTAGTGATACAGCGAAATTTGATAACTTCTATATTTTAGATACTGTATCCATTAAAAATCTATTATAGAATTTAAATAATTAAAATAAGAATAATATAATTAAAATTGACTTGTAATGTTATGATAAATAAGCATCACTAAATTGCAATTAATTGTAACCTTATAAATTTTGAGTTACAATATTATAACAGATAAAGTATCACTGAATTACAGCTTCCATCATTTATATATATTAATATTATATATATTTTTTACCTAGCATATTTTATAATGTTTTTTCAAAATTTTTGTCTAAAGAAATCTTACAGTAAATGCATATTTTATTTATTTACATATTTATATAACTTTTTAAAGTATATATATACAGTCAGTCATAACTTTTTCTTATTTGAAGGCACACATCAAGTATCTTTTTATTACTTCCTTATTAATATATTTTTATTTCATTGTTATAGTCTATAAATTGTGCTTATGACGGATTAAGTATTATCGAAGTATAGACCGCATGGAAATAATGGCGGGACAAATTTTGTTATATAATTGGTCGTCTTTTTAAAAAGGCTAGTGTAAAAATACATGAACGAAATGTATCTTCAGTTAGGCTGAATTTTAATTTTTATACAAGAACAATATGTACATGTATTACATATACTTATAAAATAAAAATTATGAAAGAAAATCAGATAACATTACAAGTAATTGTTTTTATGACATGGAAGGAAAATGTATCATGTGTTGAATATGATACTCTAATTACAGACATTCAGAGATATTAGTAGCACCTAATTAAAAATCAAACTGCCATTACTTTTCATACGGACTGTACATTCATAATTGGTAGAATAATTTTTGTACTTTAACGGGTAATATTTTATTAAGCACAAAATTTGTGTTGTTCTTAGTCATAGCAGCAACATTAAATTCCGGTAATAATTCGTAATTCTTTAACGATATGATAAGTCACGATTAGAAACATTACTTACATGTACATGTACTTGGTGATGATATTGTATTGTTATTGTAGTAATACTAAAATTTGCAATTCCATAATTACTTAATGATACGAATAATCTCTACATATCGATATAAATTTACATGTATAATTTTATCCATGTTCATGTACAACATATGCAATTATGCATCAACTGCGCGTGTGAAGTACATCACCTTCTAAAGATATAAAATGAAGCGAAACACAATGGTGAAAGAATTAGACTTAATAATTTACAAGAAGAAGCATTCTCTGAGTGTTCTAAAGATACAATTTGGTGATTTTACGAAAACTACTATTAACGGAGTCAACAAAACAAAAAGTAAATCAAAGACACTAAGTGTCATCGACGGTCGAACTTATCCAATGTCAATAAATCAGAATACAAATATGGTTTATTTAGAGTTAGGTTCCTCTTTATCGATTTATGTTAAGTACAAAAGAAATAAAAGTCATTTGTACGCAAGCTTTTGAGATAGTAATAATAATGATGTTTTCAATGAAAAAAAGGAATTGTAACAAACTTTTATGTTGTTTAATAAATCCTGTAAGAATACTGCCACACTTAATTCGGGAGTTAGGTTGTCTAAACTGAATGATTTTATGCGAAGTGGAAATTGTGCAATTGAAGAGTAAATTTGTTCAAACGGGAACAAGATAATGTGTAAATTCAATTCCAAATTCAAAATTACATAACTGCAATTCAAATAATATACTTTACTAAATATTTATTTTTCTAAACTACAACCCTACGGGAAAATTGTGTCCGGAATTTTACGTGATTTATACGGGATATTACGTTACACATACAGAATTTTACGGAGTCATACGGAACGATAATGGAGTGGTCAATTAAAACTATATGTAGTTTCATATAAAAATTTATTATCGAATTTCATTTTATTAATATAATAAGAATAATTGTCCTTTTATTCGATACTTATTTAGTGGATGCCTCTTCGATAGTTTCGATAGTGGGTGCCTCTTCAATAGATAAGTAATGCTTCGTTGAATTGTTGTTTTTTTTGATATTTCCTAAGGCGAGCATTTTTTAATTGGAATCTTCGTTTATATGATTTATAGACCCCCATCTTTGATTAGATGCACAGATTTAACGACGAAGAATTCTAAAGCGAAAATTTGAAAAGGTCAACTTTAAGTTCCAAAGAACTAAACTACAGTGCGAAATTTGCATTTTATCTAAAAAAAAAAACTTACTGGTTAATTAAAAATTCACCCGGCCAACCAAGTAAAACAGTCCAAATTAAAATAGATTGAAAAAATAAATATTTTCATAAACGATGCAAGAAATGGCTCAGTAACTTTGTAGTCGTAGTATGTAAGGAATCAATTTACATTAAACTATCGACGAAAAAAAAAATGTGACTTGTGCATCTAAAAAAAGCAAGTCCAATTTTATATATATAAAAACGTATTAATAATCGATCACTTGAAAATCATTGATTAATCAAATTAATAAGTAACTACATATCGATATAGTTTTGATTTTACTTAATTGACCGCCCACCCCAGTGTCAGGGCTGTATGTCAGGGATGCATAAGGAATGCAAAGAAGCCCATTTGGTATCTGCTCGGAACGTATCAGAAATTATGGACTGTATACGTAACGAACAGAATGTATACGGAAAACCATAATGTATGTCAGAGATGTATAAGGAACACAAAACCTTTGTTCGGAAATTGCCATAATATGAACGTAATGTATACGTAACGAACAGAAAACATACGGAAAACCATAATTCATGTCAGAGATATATAAGGAACACAAAAATCTTTGTTTAGAAATTGCCGTGTTATACATTTTGATTCTCATGCTTATCGTTATGTTAGTCTATACCAGAATAAATGGCTGATTTCCAGATATAATATCGATATAGGGGATGGCTAAAGCGGGGGTAACGCATGAAATCATCAAATTAATAACAATTTTTTAGTTAAGTTATTGATATTTTAATATACGCATATAAGTAAAATTTCATGCTGAACATTTTTACTTAGAAGTTAAAGGCTAGTTATCATAGTAAAATTTTGAGTTATTTACGAATTTTCGTCTTTTTTGCTTGTTTTGAACTTTATATGTTACACATGATCTTGTAATTAGATTGGTTAACTTTGAAATTTAATTGGACTGATTTCATGTGTTACCCCCGCTTTAGACCTATAGCTGGTACAAATCACGTCATCTAAACATGTGGGTGGTTTTACTCATATCCATTACGCACTAAGCTTCCACGTGAAATTACAATGAAGAAGTTTAATTACAAAGTACAAATAAACAATCAATATATTTAGATTTATATATACGTCCTATATGAATTCTCCAGTAAGATTTTTTTCCTTATCCAAAATGTAAATATCTCTGTTCACCTCAAAGAATCCAACAACTCTCCTTATCTTTCTTACATCAATGAATTCATATCGTCCAAATTCACGAAACTTCTTGATTCCAAAAAGAGGCCATTCTTTTCTTTCATCTGGAATGTTTGCACATCTTACATAAGCAAGCATGACGTCATGAGTATGACTAAAGTACCATAGAACTTGACCATAAAAGATTTTAGTAATAAGTATTGTATTGTTTCTTTGACGACCTGAGATTGGAACTTGTAATTCATACTTTTTACATTAAATATAATTAGTATATAGCAGACTATAATCAAATCTATACAGTAATATAAGTTCTTACCACAATGCATCCATTGTTTCTTGATATTTCAGTTTTTTTCAAAGACATTTCTGATCCAATCATGTATCCTTCTTTTGTTCATAATCATGCATATTTTGTTCATTATTTTGCGACTATAATTAATATAAAGAATATGAGATTTTTAAAAATAAAATCTCAAATATAAAGCATAGATTATCTACCTCATTCAATCCAATTAATATAGAATAATTTTCTTGATACCAGCGTGTCAAATGTTGATACTCAAGACTTGATTTCTCCATTATATAATGTTTAGATGGCCACCAAAATTCTTCTCCATCATCAGTATTCTAAAAGATTCTTTCTGATTCATATGCTGTTCTTTTAAAAGGAAGAGATATTTGATCTTGTATATTAGCCAAAAATTGAATGTGATTAAATTTTTTGCATAATAAAATATTGACCAAATTTTGATATAACTCTGATCATAATTCCACTATTAGTTGAAGAATTCCAATAAGACATTCCATTAGAAACTGCTATATAGTTCAACAAGATTCACTTTTTTAAATTGATTTAGTGATATGAAGAAGATAATGAAAATTAACTTAAAAATGCAAAATTTAAATTTTTAAATATAATAATAATATCATAATAATAATAAATCTTATCTAGTATATAATTCAATAATAATAAATCTTATCTAGTATATAATTCAATAAAATTACAAAGTAATATTTATATATCAGTTATATCTTAAAAAGATATTATTTTTTGACAATATTTTTGGATAGCTAAAATATATGATATCCATACTAAAAGTAAAATTATTAGTATTAGTTTTATTAAATTAAATTAAATTAAATAATATGGGTTGATACAAAAAGATTTGTACCTCAGATAATTATTTTTTCAAAATAATGTTTAATTCTGTCTTATTTAATTGCTTTTCTTGTATTGTACTCGTATACATCTTTCTGTCAAACATATCAAACAAAAAGAAGAAACACCAAATAAATAATTCTAGTCAAAAAAATGGTTGAGTACTATAATAACAATAGTAATAAATTATGATGAAAACAATATGTCTAATCATTATGAGTGCACTATTAATACATATATCTAAAACTTTTGCGAAAATAAATCAGTTAATTAACACATGTACATGAATCATATTTTAATGCACTCATGTTGCGCATACATCACTGTATTATTGACAACATCCTTTTAGAATTTACATACTAAGTAAATCTTGTGCTATTTTACGTTGGATTTTTTCCACGTTTAATGATAGTAAATAAGTTCGTGTGCTTCTACTGAATATTTGTGTATGCTGTGTCTTAGAATGAAGCATGAACAACCGGTTGTTGATGCTGTGGTCGCAGCTAGTATATGCGAGTTTGTTGTTTTTGCTTTTATATAATGTTTTTTTGGTTGTAGTTAGATGATAAGAAAACAATAAATAACCGTAAAGTAATTCTCTTTTTACTGCGGAAAATTATCAATTTATGCGCGGAAGTAAAATAACAAATACCTTCAATGACGTCTTCGTTTCGTAATCCAAGCATCTCATTTTTCTAATTAATATATTTGTATATATGTGTGTATATAAATTCAAAAAAGCCGTTATTAAGGAAGAAAAACCGATTAAGCTTCAACCGGTTAACCGATTAATCTTAACTGTTAACTGCCAACCACGTTATATTTAGAAATTTTGAGTTTACCAAGCCAGATCATATGATTTAAGTTGACCAATCACAATTAATATAATTACGTATCAAGAAGAACCGGTTAACCGCTTAAATTAATCGGTTAATTAAAAAGAATTTAACCGTTATCTGCATACCTCGTTTGCCGGGACAATGGATCGATCCGAATATGGACTAGTATTTTTTGGAATGGAATATTCGATAGTACTGCGTATTTCTGCGTTGTTAGGATTGAACCAATAAGAATGCACAAATCATGAATTAAGGTTAGACACTTTTAATTGTGCTGTGTCATTGCCCTTTATAAACCGCCGCGTCTTCGAATTTTTCAAATTCACAAATTTTTCAGTCGATCAAGAATTTTTCCGTTTCATTGTTTACTTTTTTGTATAATGTTCATGTCACATTCTTAAGAGACGTTTAGATAATAACAGTCTCTAGAACCATCAGTTTCCCTTTACCCCCTAAGAGATTAAATAAAATTCATAATAAAAATGTCGACTTTCAACAGGAATTTAAGCGTTACTAACGAAAAGCCTAAAGATTATGCGGTAAAGAAATAAACAAGCATCTTTATCTTCGCTACAATCTTCTTTATCTTTTTTCCTCATATTCTCTTTCCGTTTCATGCAAACATTAAAGATTCCGACACCACCAACTGATGGAATAACGCAACTAGCATTTTCACCAATAGCTGACTACCTAGCAGTTTCTTCATGGGATAATCAGGTAAGCGGGATGTGTTCGAAGTTATTAAATCTACACGATACGCGTAATTTAACGAAACATATCAAAAAATGGAAAATTAATTAAATAGCATGATCTTTTTTTCCGAAGGTTAGAATATACGAGGTTAACCAGACTATAGGATCCGCTGTTGGAAAAGCTTTTTATCCGCATGAGGGTCCAGCACTATGTTGTACATGGAGCAAGGTTTGTGAATGTTAATTATTTGTTTTGCCTGAATTTTTTAAATCAAATAATTCGTGTTTCTGATACAGTGTAGTTTTTTTAATTAGGATGGATCAAAAATATTCTCAGGCGGTGCTGATAAAGCAGGTCGTATGTTTGATACGACGACCGGGCAAGCAATGCAAGTCGCGCAACATGACGCGCCGATTAAATGTATAAAATGGGTGGACAGTGGTAATGTTGTTGCGACTGGGAGTTGGGATAAAACAATAAAAGTGTGTATATTATTTGTTCCTTTTTTTTATATAAATCTCTCGCTAATTTATTATGATGAATAATAAATAGTATTGGGATCTACGCACACCACAACCAGTTCTAAGCGTTAGCCTTCCTGAACGGTGTTATGCCATGGATCTTATTTTCACATTGATGGTTGTAGCTACTGCTGAACGACACGTCATGATTTACGATATGCGGAATCCTGGTTCAGTGTTTAAGGTTGGTTTGGATGATTCATTTTTTGGGTCGGATTTCAGAGTCATTCATCATTTTCTCATAAGCAAATCATAAATATAACTAAAATATAGCAATCACAAAGCCCACTAAAATGGCAAACACGTACAGTAGCGTGTTTTAATGCTGCAAGCGGTTATGTGATCGGAAGTATCGAGGGGAGAGTGGGAGTTCAGTATCTAGAAGAAAAAGATAATCAGTAAGTGAAAATTATTGAGAATTAAATTTGATGGAATTATATTAGATGATTAATTAAGAGAGTTTTGTAATATCGAACTACAAGTTACTCATTCAGATGCCACCGTGAAAACAATGTAAACGTTTATGCGGTGAACGCAACTTCATTCCACCCGCTTCACGGAACGCTCGCGACAGCTGGCAGCGACGGAACCTTCAATTTCTGGGACTTGGACTCCAGACAACGACTTAAAGGATTCGCGACCATCGGTTGCCCGATTGTGTCGGCAACGTTTAATCGGAATGGATCGATTTTTGCGTATGCTGCTGGATATGATTGGAGCAAGGTAACTAATGAATGATAAATCATGTTCGTTTACGAGAAATTTATGAGAAAGATTTTTAAAATTTGTGGATTATTTAGGGTTATCAACAACCATCTTACTCAACACAACAAATAAAAGATTCAATCTTTCTGCACGCTGTAAAAGATGTAGATGTCAAACCACGAGCTGCTGCGAAAGGTAAAAGATGAAAATGGCAGGCAAGCCAGATTTCGAAAAAATGATAACCTCTTCCACGATCGTTCATTAACATATCAACTGGTTTTATTATCATCATCATCATCATTTCTATCTGTATCTATCTATTATCATTCCATCTATTTGTATCTAATAATAAGTTTTCTTGTGTATATTTGTTGTAAATCAAAAATTAAAAAAAAGAAATAAAAATTAATTCAAAATGCAAATAATAACGAAAAATACTATTGTTAAGGGGGATCAATTCGAATATACTTGATATTATTATTGATTTGCAGCCTTTTAATAAAGGAAATAAGATTAAAAAATTTCTATATTTTATAAATATTATGTATGTATGAATATTTTATTTTAAAAATTCCAAATGTTTAAACGGAAAAATCAACTCAACAGATAAACGGAATCAATTTCTTAGTAGAACGTTGATATTCAGCATATTTATCTCCGAATTTCTCAATCATCATCTCTTCCTCAACGCGTATTTGATTCCAGTACGCTGCGAAGATCATGCACAAGATTGTAACGATGACCAGTAGATTTCCTGAACTTAGTGCGAATCCCAGCCATGCAATGATCTGGCCAGTGTATGCGGGATGTCGTATATAACGATATGGCCCTATGTATTGAAAATGCATCATAAATCACATGCTGTCAAGTACTGATTATTGAAAAAAAAATACATGTACTTACCGTTACCAATAGCAACTAGACTATCCGCCATCACAACAGTCCTCGTTGACCGCTCACCTCTCAGAGAATACATACGAAACGAATATCCTAATATGATCAAAAACAAGCCAGACCATCCTAGCATACGGCCAATATCCCAAGGCAAATCGCAAACCCCCAAAAGACTCAACAAAGGCGCGAAGAGAGCCATAAATCCGGCAAGAGCAATAACATGAGCGCTGTACCCGTTCGTAGTCAGGTTAAACGAAAATAACGACGTCGTCAAAGGAGGGGACAATAGTGGTGTTTCAGAGTCTACTACATTTCCTCTCTGTCGTCTTCGTGAATCGTAGTTCAGTCGTAGTAGTATTTGATCAAGTATTATACCTGTTAGCAGTAGAAAGTATGCTGGGACTAATGGAAAATCTATGATTGTTATTAAAATGATGAAATGTATCGGCGGCGTGATGATTGTGTTGTATATCGTTTTTTGGGAATCATCTTTGGATAGATACATTATCAACCAAACACTAGTATTATTGTTTTTATTACGAGCAAAAAACTAGCGAGAGAAGACAATGTTCGAAGGATGCGCGGTATATTCAAAAATTATCTTTCTTATCCACATAAATGTAGAAACTGCTGAGTGTGTATAAGGTAAAAAATGTGCGAGTGTAAGTGTATTTATGTGTGGTTGTTTTAAATAGAAGTACATGTGTTCATGTATCAAACAAATAATAACGATAAATAATAAAGCAATGACGATCGATCTATGATCTATATCTCTATTTAGTATTCGTATTCATTCCGTTTCTGCGTCTTTCTTATTACTATGATTCGCCAAGAATGAGTAGAATGGGTAGAATGGGTAAAATGCTCCGTGGATTATATTTGTTCCGACTTCCCGGGAATATTTAAGATAATATTAAATCTTAATGCTAACACATTTAAGCCAAAATTGTTTTTCTTCAATAAAGTGTAAATTTAACAACAAAAGAAAAAAGTGTGAACTATATAGAACTTTATAATAGATTTTCCAATTTCCACATGTGCATATTACCAACAACATCGAAAAAATTTCATTTAAATGCCCGCCTTAGCAAGTAAATATCAGACATAACACAACAGTCATCATAATACAGAGGTTCGAAATGTATTTGAATTTCGACTTTGAACGGGCCAAGATTATTATTGGAATGATTGGAATATACGGTATCAATTGTTAAACAGAAAATCACAGATTTTTAGCAGCGATTTTATTAGAACATGTATAACTTTGTAATAATACATCAAGTAATAAATTTATATAAAAGATTTTGTGTCAAATGTTCTCGTCTTTAAGTACCACCAAACTAATATAGATGTTCTCCTAGCGAATAAGCAGTGACAATACGAATTATTGTTGGACTATTTTATGCGAATGATGATAAATTATGAGGGAAACTGAAATAGTATGATTCGTTTGTCTAGTATATTGTATTAGTACAAGTTTTCTATTATCAATTTTATAAATTGGTATCTTCAAAATATTGAATATAGCGATAGCTAAATCACGTGGGTGATAAATAAAAAAAATTTTGGCTTGCAAGCTGGCTCATGAGGAACTTTAGTCGCTCCCAAACCACACCAGTCAAACGAATTTCGATAATGTTCCAACACCGCTTCTTTCTCGCAGCTACAAGAGTTTTTAATATTTAAAATCACTCGCATGCAAAAAATTTGATATTTAATTACCCCATGAATGCAAAAATTCTGTGAAGGTGTCGTCGAGAATGGAAAAGCTTATGTTAATATATCCTTTTTTGTCGTGCAAGAACCGATTTGTCCCTTTACTAGCTCATCAAAACATTTAATAAACAGAATTGATGGTAAACTGTTTAAAAGAAAATAATATTTTAAAGAAACTGTGTCGTTTTGAGGTGTTTCAAGCCAATTTCTGTTTTAGATTATTTTGTCAAGATAATTCAGTAGTCATTTTCGAATTAAGAACATAGTGACTTTTATATTTATTCCTTCTATATCTAATTATTTAAAATAAAAAATTGTGTTCTAATACATTTTCATTTTCATTTAGTATTTATAATAGAAATAAAAATGTTATAAGTATATTTTTTATATATGTAATAATATATTATTTATATTAATTATCATAAATATTCAATTTTAATCTGTTATTTTCGAGAAATACACTTATCTACAACAAAGAATTATTTAAGACTTAATTGAAATACATGCCAATCTTGACGGTTTATAAATAAATTTTTATAACTTTCAAAACATGTATATGTATTACTTTTTTACCACAAGTATACCAAATTGTTGGTTTCAGATCATATGATTCAAATTAAAATCTTTGGAATTGTGTTAGTTGATTTTGTTTCAGATCATATGATTCAAATAAAATCTTTGGCTTTTTGCTTAATATTAATAAAATGTTCTATACTAATGTTAACGTATGTATAAATAGTTGAGTGTACAAAATTAGTCAAAGTTATCAGAAGATTTGGCTGAAATGCAACAATCTCTTAGAAAGAAGATTACGAACTCTAATGCTAGAACAAATAGCATTTTAAACTAAATTTGATTGTTTGCGTTTATCAAGGTAACAAAGTGTTATAATGTCGATGTCAATTCATCCTTGTTGTATATGTAATGTATCAAACAATAATTTTAAATTAGTTTTCGGAACGGTTGAGACAAGCATCGTCTACTGAATCCAGAAATCGAAATTATTTGGCGTATCCAGCGCTGATTAGAGAAAAAGCTATAAAAACAAGATGACGAATTACTTAGATTTTATCTATATAACTAAATTCGAAAACGAATATTTCTGGTATGTAAATTGCATATTAATTGGCCAACCACTGAATCTGAAAACGTGAGATACATGTTTAATGTACCAGATACCGCATGTTCTCGAAATAAGCACTAGGAAGTGTTTATTTTCGGTATAAATTTATCATATAGTATTAGGGTGCTTAATTTCAGAGGTATATAAATATTGGTGCTTATTTTTGGTATACGGCATTGGTCTTGGCATAAATTACATATTTTGCAAAATGGTATTTTATTGTTACCGTCGTAATGAAAAATCCCGTAACCGCGAAAATGATTACTTTATGGTATCAACATCAACGTTGACTTTGTCTAACAACACGGACTCTCCCCAAATATTCCTGTCTTACGTTCTGAAGAATGGAATTGTAGGTAAACATTCATATCATACGTTGCCTCCTTGATCCAAAGAAATCTTTACAAAAATTCACATCTTATGTTGCACGTAAATTTTTTATTATTGTGAATTTCTTTGTGTCTGAACAAAATCGTTACTTTAATTCTTTTTGTGCTTAAGCAACTCGAAGGCTCTACTGCTTTGTCCATGCAAAGTTGATGAATCACGTCGAATTCTATGTTTCATTTGTTTCTTTGATAATTGGATGATTCTATTATTTGTTTTTGATATTAATTTTGATATTTGGAATAAACCTACCTTGTTATTTGAACTGATATTAAATTTTGTAATTTTCACTTGTGTTATTTGAATTAAATATTATTATTTTATACTTTACCTTATACTGTAACTTCTGTGCAGATTGGCAAAGGAGATCTTTAGAACCCTACATTCTGTGTAAATCATTCTGTTGCGTTTGTAATTTTTTGGTACAACTAACTTCTGGATTGCGAACAACACGATTAAGTCTAAAAATTTAGAATTTACTACAGAAAGTAAGAAAGCTTCTTTTAAATTAAACCAAATATCTATATTAGGCGAAGCTATCTCACAATGTTTCGTTAATGAAATTACGAAGATTAATGTACAATAGATGTAACGGTAATGAATAATAAAAAATTTTCTTTATATAATAGAAAAATCTATTATCCTTATAGTAAACTGTGAAATCGATTTTGGAGAAGAATTTAATATCGGGGATTTTGTTCCACCGTATCAATTTTCAATAGCTTAAAAGAATTCATTAGAATTTTTGGGCGTCGTTTTGGTGAAGAAGCCGTCGAAATTGTCTTCACAAACAGTTAGAATATTTTATTCGTACATTCTAATTTGCTTTGAAAGCGATGCAGAAAAATTCAAATTGGATATTTATTATATGTCAAAAATTGATTAGTTAAATGACAGAGGAACATCGAGAGCAATTTTTGAAAATAATGATTGAGAATTTTTAGATTCCGCAACATCAAATTCAGTAATTGACAAATTCTTGAATTTATTATGCAATAAATTTTGGATTCTAAATTATTAAAGTTATCTATTTAGCTGGACCTTTTTAAGTAACTCTTTACTTCGTAAAGCGTGTAAAAGAAAAATTTATTGGGAGAGCTCAAAATATTATTGTCTCAAGGAGTCCTGTCTGTAAGTATATTAATTTGAGGATCATTTTTTATGGTCTTTATCTTGTCAGAACTTCGTCAAGGTAGTTTTGAAATAGAAATATGGAAAGCAAGCATAGAAATATCGACTACGTTAATTGTGTGTAAAGAAACATCAATTGATAACACAAGAATTTTCTCAATTCCACACTTTGCGTAATTATCTATATCACCGAAAGCGCGATGCGAAGTTATATGTGACGAAGGTGTAAAGAGTTTCGGAAAGATTATCGCTATTCTTCTAGATTATATGAAATCTATTAATGAAATGCTTGCAGTGAAATTAATATTTATATTAAAAAAAAATGAATTCAAACGGTTAAAAAATTCACAATGGACAAAGAATTCGAAATGATTTTGGATTTTAAACATTGTTTTTTCTTAATATATGTTGTATTAACTCTATAAAACATACTTATAATCTAAGGTATCTAAAATACATTTAAATTATACAATACTATTTGATTAATTTTTCAAAATAACAAAAAACCACGCGCTTTGCATCGTCGAATTATTTTTTTGTGTCTTTTCTCTTCATCCGATGAATAAACTGTAACTACTGCGTTTTTGGTCACATAATCTCTAATTTAAAAATAATAATTGAATAACTAGTATATAAAAATAATAACAATAAAAAAACTCATCACATTACCTGTAAGTTTGTGGAGATGGGCTCCTTTTTCTTTTTATATGATTTGTCTCGTCATTTGCATTATCGTCTTCTTCATCAGATGAAATTATACAAATTTCTTGTTCTGTTTGTTCCGAGTTAATTGTAATATTGTTATTAGCGATTTGATAGCATTGAATATATGTATCTCTTCTGTTGCTGCTGTTGCCGTTGTTGTCGTTGTCGTTGTTGTTGCTGTTATTGCTGTTGTTTTTATCATTGTTGTTGTTGTTGTTGTTGTTGTTGTTGTTATTGTTGTTTTTATTATTATTATTATTATTATTATTATTATTATTATTACTATTATTATTATCATTATGCTTATTATTTCTATTCTTATTCTTAATAATATTATTGTAATTATTGGTATTGCAATTTTTAATATTGTTGAATTTTCTTCTTTTGTTTGACTTTGAAATCTTTGAAATTGTTTGATTATCAAGATTATTATAATGATTATT